GGTTGGGGGCCGAAAGAATAGTAGCAATTTCCTTTTCTTATAATTGTGTTTTTTACATTGTGAAGGTATTTTGACACAACTTATTTTCATGACACTTAAAAGTTTATGCCTTAGATTTAAATTTGGTTTAGATTGAATCAAAATTAGACCAAATATTGTTGAGCCATTACATCTGTTATAAGTTTAAATACAGGCGTATGCAGGATGACGGCGGATGTTACATGTGTGTTCTATGTTTTGTCATAATTAGAAAAGTAGTAGCTCTCTGCCTCTTCGTTTATAGAAAAGTAGCTCTCCGATTGAAAAAGGTTGGAGGTTGCAGGAAAGAAAAGTCTGAAATCTCGGCTGTCAAAGTCAAACCGAGCTTGTTCTGGTTTGATGAATGAATCATAAATTGTATTGATTCGTTTCATTAAAATGAGATTAAAAGTCCAGTGCATTGATCTTGACTCTTCCTGACAGCGATAAGTCATTAGAGAAAAGGTCGATTGAGAAATATCGACCTCGAACCAACTTTGATGCAACGAAATATGAAGGAAAACACTCCACAATCCACAAAAAAACATTAGATATTTATAGACAGGTCTTTTAAAAGGAGCAGTGTGTAAACATGTGGCCAAAAGTGGTACTGCAGCCTCTCCCACTCTCCCTGACTCAGGTTGCCAGATATGCAGACGAATCCAGCTGGGACCATAACAGCTGAATAGACAAGAGTTTTGTCAACAACAAATCTATAACCAACACCTTTTTCACAAAGATAGAAATCCTGCTTTTATTCCTTGTTTTGTTGTTAATGATTTGAGAATCATAACGAGACCTTTTTTAGTTCTGCGCCACATGGTACTTTACCAGTGAGATTAGCTCCACACGGTGAGTTCTGACGCCCGGATCACAGACTTTCTGATTGGTGAAACGGTGGAGGGCGGGACATCGAAATGAGAACAATAACAAGATTTAGAGACTGGAAAAGTAAATTAGAAATTCAAATATTTCTGATTACAAAATTACAAAAATCTAACCAGTTTCCATCTTTAAATGAATTCTCTTTTGTACATAGGATTTGCATGTTCTCCCTGTTTCTGCGTGGCTTCCTCTGGGTTCTCTGGGTTCCCCTCCTACTAATGAGACTATGGATTAAACCCAGCATGTATTTACAACAGCAGCAGGTCAAACACTAGGTCCCAGTCTAAAATACATAAAACTAGGGAAAGATTGGAAGTGCGTGCTATTTTTGCCTTTTTCTTCTCCTTTTCTTTCATCACAAAACTATTATTCGCAAAATATATGTTAAGTCCACATTTTGAAGTAAACACATAAATATTTGCATTCACATGTCTGACCCCGTGCTTCCCGAGATTTCTGCGTCGCCCGGAACGCAGATCCACACACGTCGGGGCACATTCACCATCGAGGAATGCCGCACAATTACCCACAATCCCGTAGTACAAGCTTGGGCAGTGACACGCCTCCGCTCAAACAAAACCCGGCCGTGAGAGGCAGCATGGGTGTGTTCGAACAGATTTCTTAAACAGACCCATTGGCCGCATCCCAAATCCACCTTCTCCTTCCTTGTCCTTCATACAGTCTTTCCTCAAGGACTAAAGAGCCATTTTTGTAGAACTTTTTGTCCCATTATGCTTCGTTTGTGTCAAAATAATAAGTATAAGAAAGACACAAGCAAAAAAAATAACAAAATGATAAATATATAGATGACTTTCTATAACTATATATAATTTATCAGTATCATACCAAGATTTTTCAGTCATTTTGATGTCACTTTTTCCCATCTCTCAATAGATAATACAAGGTCCAGGTCTTTCCCAGTGGAATTTGCATGTTCTCCCCGTTTCTCCGTGGCTTCCCCTCCTACTAATGAGACTGTGGATTAAAACTAGCATGCATTTATGTAACAGACTAGGTCCCATTCTAAAATACAAAAAACAAGGAGAGAGAAAGATGGGAAGAAAGGAGGTGTTTTTCTTATGTACTTGGGTGTAGTTAATCATTGGAAGGATGCAGAAGTGTTTGTGTATTTCCTAATAAAAGCAAGTATGTACCTCATGTTGCGACTCGTCAAACGGTCTTAGCTAGCATAATGGCAGTGGCAGTAGAAGCCGTAGTATTATCAGCAGTAGTAGTAGTAGTAATAATAACAGTATTGTGGTACGGCCTCAGTAGCAGCAGCGTACTAGTAGTGATACATTTGTTTGTAGTTTTATTGCCAGGCATTTCACATTGGGCACAAGTCACAAAATATAAATAAAGTATTGCTAACATGCAAAAAAAAACTTAACCAAACTAGTGAAAGAGAGTAAGAAGAAGAAAACGTATTAAATCCTACCCCCATAATACATATAGTAGCAGTGGTCTTAGCAATAGACATAGTAGCCCTAGCTTTGCAGTATAGATTCAGCCTCCGGTTAGCAAGCAAGGATGTGGAAATAATGCAGTAGAGGCAGTAGTATTCTCAGTAGTGCTGGTGTAGTAGTAGTAGCAGTGGCTGACATAGGGGCAATATTTCATTTTCATTTCATTTCATTTCGTTTATTTCTTTCGAGCCCATTACATTACACATTTGTATACACAACTAGCATCCCACAACATAGCACAAGAACCGCACATGATTCACTAATGCTCCTGTGCACTGAAAAAAAAAAAAGAAAAAAAAAATTTAAAACCACCTATTACATATTCACATAGGCCTTGTTGTTCATAAGCACACTCCAAGAGCTCAACATGGAGTGGGAAGAAGAAAAAACTTCCACCCCAATATTCATAGTAGCCCTAGCCTTGCAGAAAAGATTTAGACTCCGGTTTGAAGGGAAGGGTGTGGAGAGTAGCAGTAGAGAACTCAGTAGTGCTGCTTGTAGCAATAATAGCATTGTGGAATGACCTCAGTAGTAGCACACTTGTAGTAATAGTAGCAGTGGTCTCGGCAATATCCATAGTAGCCCTAGCATAGCAGGATAGATTCAGCCTCCGGTTAGCAGGCAAGGATGTGGAAAAAGTGGGCACCGGGGTAGTTTGTACATGACGTGAACGCTAACATATGTGCAAATGTGTGATGGTCACGCAAGGTATAAGCAGCAGCAGCAGCAGCAGCAGAAACTAGGTCAACAGGAGTCCACAGGAGAGGGGAGGTGGAGAGATGGAGAGAATTTGACTTTACAAATATATTGATTAAAAAAGTTACAGGCGTCTATGAAGAGGAGACAGGACAGATGACAGCCTCAAACATACAAGATTAAATTACATGTGTGTTATTACCATGATCAACACGGTCAATTTATTACATTTGTGCAGCTTTCTTTCAAGAACGTCCATTCATTTCAAGCACCCAGCGGACTTCACAACGGGACTACAGTGAGACTACAGTGGGACTACAGCGGGACTACAACGGGACTACAACTATTGGACGACTATTGGACTAACGGGACTACAGCGAGACTACAGCGGGACTACAGCGGGACTAACATGACTACAGCGGGACTAACATGACTACAGCGGGACTACAGCGGGACTAACATGACTACAGCGGGACTAACATGACTACAGCGGGACTACAGCGGGACTACACCAAGACTACAGCTAGACTACAACGGGACTACAGCAAGACTACAGCAAGACTACAGCGAGTCTACAGCGGGACTACAGCGGGACTACAGAAAGACTACAGCAAGACTACAGCAAGACTACAGCGAGTCTACAGCGAGTCTACAGCAAGACTACAGCAAGACTACAGCAAGACTACAGCAAGACTACAGCGGGACTACAGCAAGACTACAGCGGGTCTACAGCGGGACTACAGCGGGACTACAGCAAGACTACAGCAAGACTACAGCAAGACTACAGCAAGACTACAGCAAGACTACAGCGAGTCTACAGCAAGACTACAGCAAGACTACAGCAAGACTACAGCGGGACTACAGCAAGACTACAGCGAGTCTACAGCGGGACTGCAGCGGGACTACAGCAAGACTACAGCGGGACTACAGCGAGACTACAGCAAGACTACAGCAAGACTACAGCAAGACTACAGCAAGACTACAGCGGGACTACAGCGAGACTACAGCGGGACTACAGTGGGACAACAGTGGGACAACAATGGGACTACAGTGGGACAATAATGGGACTACAGTGAGACTACAGCGGGACTACTGTGGGACAACAGTGGGACAACAATGGGACTACAGTGGGACAATAATGGGACTACAGCGAGACTACAGTGGGAATACAGCGAGACTACAGCGGGACTACAGCGAGACTACAGCAGGACTGCAACGGGACTACAGTGGGACAACTGTGGGACTACAACGGGACTACAGTGGGACTACAGTGGGACTACAGCGAGACTACAGCAGGACTACAGTTTGACTACAGTGGGACTACAGTGGGACTACAGTGGGACTACAGCGAGACTACAGCAGGACTACAGTTTGACTACAGTGGGACTACAGTGGGACTACAGTGGGACTACAGCGAGACTACAGCGAGACTACAGTTTGACTACAGTGGGACTACAGTGGGACTACAGTGGGACTACAGCAGACAGCGAGAGGGAGAGAAAGAGGTGAACAGAGCGGAGGGAAAGGAGAGTCTGATCCGTGGTGGAAAGTTACAGGTCTGTCAGTCACCTGTGCCAACATGAACCAGCACAAGCCTCTTATGGTACAGGTCTGTCAGTCACCTGTGCCAACATGAACCAGCACAAGCCTCTTATGGTACAGGTCTGTCAGTCACCTGTGCCAACATGAACCAGCACAAGCCTCTTATGGTACAGGTCTGTCAGTCACCTGTGCCAACATGAACCAGCACAAGCCTCTTATGGTACAGGTCTGTCAGTCACCTGTGCCAACATGAACCAGCACAAGCCTCTTATGGTACAGGTCTGTCAGTCACCTGTGCCAACATGAACCAGCACAAGCCTCTTATGGTGTGAAAACTTGTGCCTGTCGTAACCATGTTGGAACACGGACCAGGCCCTTTATCATCAATTATTCCTAGTCCAGTGTAAACCGTCTCACTGGCTGAAAGACATGAAAATATTACATATTGCTGCTTTAATTCAGGTTATACTTTAAATGTCAAAATGAATAGAATGAATAATAATAAATACCATAGTGAGGAAAAAGTTCTTCCATTTTGACATTTTTATTGATATTACAGCCTCGTTTAGTGTCGTCTAATGCTGGATAATCCTTTGTACAAATATGAGTCTTCAAGAGATGCAACAAGCACAATAATAATGTAAATCTATGGTTAATCTTATTTATGGCCTGCATTAGAACCATCACATCATATACATTTGACCCGCTCTGTCCATAATCCTCCCCGTCCTGCAGCGAGATAACAACATAAAACATGAGCCCGGGACCACAGTGAGCGCAATAACTCAAAACCATTTCATAAATTGCGTCTCTGTCGGCGTCCTGTGTGTAATAACAGATCAGGCTTGTAATGTGCGGATAATTCACATTGATGAACGGGCGAGAGGCGGGCAAGAGGCGGCGGGCAAGAGGCGGCGGGCAAGAGGCGGCGGGCAAGAGGCGGCGGGCAAGAGGCGGCGGGCAAGAGGCGGCGGGCAAGAGGCGGCGGGCCAGAGGCGGCGGGCAAGAGGCGGCGGGCAAGAGGCGGCGGGCAAGAGGCGGCGGGCAAGAGGCGGCGGGCAAGAGGCGGCGGGCAAGAGGCGGCGGGCAAGAGGCGGCGGGCGAGAGGCGGCGGGGGAGAAGCGGCGTGCAAGAGGCGGCGGGCAAGAGGCGGCGGGCAAGAGGCGGCGGGCAAGAGGCGGCGGGCAAGAGGCGGCGGGCAAGAGGCGGCGGGCAAGAGGCGGCGGGCAAGAGGCGGCGGGCAAGAGGCGGCGGGCAGAGGCGGCGGGCGAGAGGCGGCGGGCGAGAGGCGGCGGGCGAGAGGCGGCGGGCAAGAGGCGGCGGGCAAGAGGCGGCGGGCAAGAGGCGGCGGGCAAGAGGCGGCGGGCAAGAGGCGGCGGGCAAGAGGCGGCGGGCAAGAGGCGGCGGGCGAGAGGCGGCGGGCGAGAAGCGGGCGGGCGAGAGGCGGCGGGCGAGAGGCGGCGGGCGAGAGGCGGCGGGCGAGAGGCGGCGGGCGAGAGGCGGCGGGCGAGAGGCGGGATCCATTCGTAGAAAGTCCCAGAAGTTACAAGGGGTTTGTGTGTGTCTCTATCGCTCTGCGTCTTAGTTTAGTCAGACCAGGCCAGACCAAACTCAGGCCCGTGGGCCAATTGCGGCCCTCTGTGCCTCTGTATGCGGCCCTCTGTGCCTCTGTATGCGGCCCTCTGGTGTCATTTACTCTAAGATTGTGTCACAAGATTCCACATAAAATGCAGCTGTGAATCCAACAGGACGTATCGTAACCCATTTTAAACTCCAGAATCCCCTCAATCCAGTTTTTAAATCCAGGTCTGGCCCAGGTCAAGTCTGATGAACTAAAGTGGCCCTCTTACTATAAAGTTTGGACACCCCTGAGTTAGACCATTTCATGAAACGAGGCAATCCCTTTTTCCAGCTTAAAACCAACTAACCCATAATGACATCACTACGGGGGTGAAGACCGAGACAGCGTTCAAACCATATCCCCTCTGGTCCACAGGTACCGCCGGCCCGCAGGTACCGCCGGGCCCGCAGGTACCGCCGGCCCGCAGGTACCGCCGGCCCGCAGGTACCGCCGGCCCGCAGGTACCGCCGGCCCGCAGGTACCGCCGGGCCCACAGGTACCGCCGGGCCCGCAGGTACCGCCGGGCCCACAGGTACCGCCGGGCCCGCAGGTACCGCCGGCCCGCAGGTACCGCCGGCCCGCAGGTACCGCCGGGCCCGCAAGTACCGCCGGGCCCGCAGGTACCGCCGGGCCCGCAGGTACCGCCGGGCCCGCAGGTACCGCCGGGCCCGCAGGTACCGCCGGCCCGCAGGTACCGCCGGGCCCGCAGGTACCGCCGGGCCCACAGGTACCGCCGGGCCCGCAGGTACCGCCGGGCCCACAGGTACCGCCGGGCCCGCAGGTACCGCCGGCCCGCAGGTACCGCCGGCCCGCAGGTACCGCCGGCCCGCAGGTACCGCCGGCCCGCAGGTACCACATCTCGGCGGAGGCCTTCTCTCAGTCTCCCGCTCCTCTGCCTCTCACATCCATTTGTGGTTATTTTTAGCGGCTGTTGCTTCCCGCAATAAAAGCCAGGCGTGTGTAGCTCAGCAGTTTGCGACGGGGCTGCAGAGGAGGAGGCTAAAAATAGTCCTGGAGCAAAATAAAAAAAGAAGAAAACCCAAGAGCGAGAAAAGGATGGAGAGAGAGAGAGTTCAGCCGGTCCATGAGCAGGTTGTGGAGCTATAGGTCGAACTGTTGGAACCAAAATGGATTAAAAGGACTCCCTGCTGTATGCTTTTAGCTTGGGTCTAAATGTTGTTTTGCCTGGATAGTTGTTCAGTCAGAGGCACTGCAAGTTTATTAGTATGGCACAGTTCCTGCACAAGACAGCCTAAAATCAAACAAGGCATTACAATCTTGAATAATCCCAGTGTGTTATAAGTTTCTGAGATAAAAAAAAAGGGTTTGATTGATTGTAAGAGACTATTTCTTTTTTAAACCGCATAAATCTGAAAACCTAGGCTCACCAAGTTTAGTCTTGACTCTGAGCCCCAGCAGGAGACCAGTCCCTGTTATAATAATGTATTTTTTATATTGGAAACATTAAGCCATTTTTTTTAATTAAGATTTTTTTTTTATTAGGTCTATGATTTTAACCCCTTCATGTTTCATTTTGATATTTTTGTACTTCCAATGTTTTTCTTTGTTTTACTGTATTTTAATCTGTAGCACTTTGAGGTTTTCTGGAAATGTGAGGAGCAATATAGATAAACATTTATTATTATTATTAGCCATTATACATGTGGAGAGACAGTTCTTATCTGTATTTTAAGCACTAAATAAATGAAGTCTTTGTTAGTCCCATAATAAGTAAATGCAAGTTTGTAATTGAAGAATTTACACGTTTTAAACCAAACTCACATTACAAGGAGCGCAAAAACATAGCTATTGGAAGAAGCAGGTTTCAGACCATTTCACGAAAAGTAGGTCAACACATGTCCAGTTGTGTAATACACCTTTAAATAAAAACTGTAAATTCAAAATATTGTGAGATGCATTTATGTTTATGTTAAAAACTTGTCAAATAATAATTAAAATGTCTACCAGCAGCGGTCTCCCATTTCCCCATTGCATTTCTGCCTCAGTGCCAGTCCAGACCTGGTCTCCTGAGGCACCCGGTCTCCGTGGTGACTGGTTGCGTTATGCTAGCTGTTAGCTGAGTGTGCTAACAGAAATGTTGCTCCTTCTGCGTCACATTTGCACAAAGGCCCCGAGAGACTCCTGCTTATCCCGGGCTCCTGCCGTCCTGCTGCACCCAGGCTCAATAATAAAGGTCACCGGAATTATTAACGTGCGCGACAACCTTAAAAAACCGCATTTAAAGTCACATTTTGGTATGAATAAATTACAAGCCGTGTTAGCTTAAAACAGGAAGCAAAACAGTCGAAAGTGATAAGAATCTTCAAATGTGTTCAAATCTATCCATTCACAACATTATCCACATGGAAAAATTATCAAATATGAGATAATTGCTTGAATCACTTCCGCGCTCCTTAAAGGCAAAGTGGGTTTAGTGTCTTGCCCAAGGACACGACGACAGCAGACATCAGAGGGAGTCGGTGGAGAAGGTGTTGAGGTGGACTCGAACCCACAACCTTCAGGCTCAAAGGCCAATGCTCTACCAACTGAGCCTGATTTGTTGAAAGAGAGAGTTCTGTGGAGTGGGATAACAATGTATTCATATAATCTATCAATAGTGTCCACACGCTGCAGCCTGGAGTGGGCGGTTTACCGTAAGTTTTTTTTTTTTTTGTAAGTTTTTATTTATATACCGCCTTTTCACTGCAGATCTGAGTCTCAAAGCGGTTTACAATTGTTAATTATGGGCATTTGTCTCTCACTCCACACAGAGATGGGAGGGGCCAGTACAGGAGGCGCATGCCAGAACTATTGGACATATTTTTTAGTGGTAGGGGAAACCGGAGCACCCGGAGGAAACCTACGCAGACACGGGGAGAACATGCAAACTCCACTCAGAAAGGCCCTGGTCCGACCGGGATTCGAACCCAGGACCTTCTTGCTGAGAGGCGAGAGTGCTATCCACTCAGCCACCGTGCTGCCCGTAGTAATAAGTAGTTTTAATAGTAGTAATAATAGTAATAACACATTTTATTTTGTTCTAGATACTCAAACTTGCTTCACATAACAAGTAAAAAGAACATTTAAAGTACATAAAAGTTAAAAACAGCATGAGCAGAGGAAGGTGTAAGTGAGTAACGGTGTCGGGACGAGCCAAATGTAAAAAGCTAGGTTCTGCCTGCGCTAAGCTAATGCTAACATTTCTGTAATCATTATCAACGGCTACGTGAACGCGGGTTAACCAGGACGGACTCGCCAAAACACGTCCAGCCAACGCACAAAACGAATATTGCTTTAGCTCTGTTTGATGCCAAACAATCAGCAAGATATGGGTTTGGAAAATCACCTGCGCAGTTAGCAAAGAGGTGGTCTGTGGGTAATGTTGCAGCAACAGTCAGTGTTGTGACTATAAACAGTTTGTAAGTCTGAGTCTAAAACCGGCAAATCTGCTTATCCCAGAGTCACCTGATCAGCTACGACTGCGGTCATAACCACCACAGGAATTACATGACTATGCTAATGTTGCTAATGTGGCTAATGTTGCTAATAAAGCCTTAAACACAGCCAGACCAGAGAGAGACCAGAGAGAGACCAAAGAGAGAGACCAAAGAGAGAGACCAAAGAGAGAGACCAGAGAGAGAGACCAAAGAGAGAGACAAAAGAGAGAGACCAAAGAGAGAGACCAAAGAGAGAGACCAAAGAGAGAGACCAAAGAGAGAGACCAAAGAGAGAGACCAAAGAGAGAGACCAGAGAGAGAGACCAAAGAGAGAGACAAAAGAGAGAGACCAAAGAGAGAGACCAAAGAGAGAGACCAGAGAGAGACAAAAGAGAGAGACCAAAGAGAGAGACCAAAGAGAGACCAAAGAGAGACCAAAGAGAGAGACCAGAGAGAGACCAAAGAGAGAGACCAAAGAGAGAGACCAAAGAGAGAGACCAGAGAGAGACCAGAGAGAGACCAGAGAGAGACCAGAGAGAGACCAGAGAGAGACCAGAGAGAGACCAAAGAGAGAGACCAAAGAGAGAGACCAGAGAGAGAAACCAAAGAGAGAGACCAAAAAGAGAGACCAAAGAGAGAGCCCAAAGAGAGACCAGCGAGAGAGACAATCAATACAAATGTGTCACCTGGTTTCAATGCCATCTATATGGGTAAATTTACTACAAAATACCATAAATATTCACAGGAAAACTCACAACGTTTTGCTTTTGTTGCGTATTAGCTACTATTAAATTAAAAACACTGCACATCTGACACATCAACGTCTATATTGTTTTGAAGTCAATAAATATAATTTCCACATTTGTCTGTTTTTCAGCTTTTTGCTCATCTTTTTGCACAAGGGAACCACATCTGGACCAATTAATTACTCCATCAGACACACAGACGAGTCGGCCCCATGTAATGTTAATCATGCACTAATTATAGACACTTAATTTTCATAACTGCGCAAGAAATTACTATTAATGTTTCCAGTTAAAACGACCGCTTTGAGGCAACTGTTGTCGGGTCGAGTTGGTATTTGAGATCCATTCATTCATTCATTCATTCATTCATTTTCTACCCCTTTATTAGTCCATTTCTAGGTCAGGGGGGCGGCAATCAGCGCTAATAGCATCAATCGCTCACTCACTGGACACAACGACAGCAGACGCAGTGGGAGCAGTTGGAGGATCGAACCCACAACCTTCAGGCCCAAAAGTCAATGCCCCTGACCATTCAACCTTCATCTCAAACATTCAAAGATCAGAGGCGCCTGCAACACAATAATAGCTCGCTTCGACACATCTCTCTGCCCCTACAGGTCCATGATGCGTTACACTCGCCTCCGCGGCAAAAAGGAGATTTTAACGGACCTCTAATTCTCACTCCAGTCAACCTTCCCATAACAGCAACCTGGTTCAGAGCTCAGCTAAGATCCCTACTGCTCCTCTGCAATTTGTCTCCCCAGCTCTATACAGCCCACTCTTTCAGGATAGGCGCTGCCACGCGCGCGACCTCGCTGGGGCTCCCCCACTCTTCCTCTGCAACGGCTGGGGCGCTGGTCCTCTTCGGCTTCTCCACCTACATCAGGCCAGATGCGACCGCTATCATGGCAGCACAACGTCTACCGGCTTCCTCGTAAGCTCCCAGCAAAGCAAGTAAGCAATAAGATTCTGGTGGCGGCACGCACTTTCCTCAAACGCTCAAAGACTCCTTGCTTCAGCGTCTGGCTGAATATGAGCGTGCGCTCATATTCTCAGTTCGCTCAAAGATTCCTCTGCTGCGGCTGGCTGAACATGCGCGCGCGCGCATGTTCTCAGTTCGCTCAAAGACTCCTCTGCTGCGGCTGGCTGAACATGCGCGTGCGCGCATGCTCTCAGTTCGCTCAAAGACTCCTCTGCTGCGGCTCAAAGACTCCTCTGCTGCGGCTGGCTGAACATGCGCGTGCGCGCATGCTCTCAGTTCGCTCAAAGACTCCTCTGCTGCGGCTGGCTGAACATGCGCGTGCGCGCATGTTCTCAGTTCGCTCAAAGATTCCTCTGCTACAGCGGCTGGCTGAACATGCGCATGTTCTCAGCTCGCTCATGCTCTCAGGCCCGCGCAGTACGTCCTGCTATCCCAATCGCAAGCCCGCTTTTTGGGGATCATGCACGCGAGCAAGCGCCGTGCTCAACAGCATCCCGCCCGGGCCTAGGGCGCCAAACATGCTCAATCAATAAACATGCTTAAATCTAATAAGTCTAATGCGTTTTCCTCATGGGTCTCTCCAAGGTGAATTGTATTTGGGATTCTCCCGTAGTCTCCCGTTACTTGGAAAATGAAACCAACACTGGGTTTACATTAAAGATTACTATATTAAAAAGGTGTATACTGTAGGAGGATATTCTACTTCCGGGTTCATCATGAAGACTATTGGTCCTCCCAACTGTCAATCATTCTGGTGATTTGCCCTGGTGCAATAAGACCAGAGAGTTTTCAAAAAGTGGAGAGGGCAGTACTTTCCTAACATTTTACCCATACACCCTTCCATTGTGGACACCGGGAAGACGAGCAACCACTTGTGGAAGCTAATGGAGATAAAAAATAAATAAATAAATATAAAAAACACAAGATAATTTATTTTTCCGA